GTGGGGGTGGGGGGGGCAGTCTTTGATTTTTTGGGAATACGCCTGCTAGAACCTCCAAGGAGAGAATTCTACAGGGAATTCTGCCTCAGTTTCCCCACCTCTGAACATGTGGATGCCCTCTCCCCAGAGGACATTGGGCCGGGCCTGAAGTCTCCAGGAGTCCAGGGACTGTGACCTTGTGGGGACTTAGAACCAGCTTCTTACGTTTTGGGGAGTTTGGGTGGGGCGGTGGGAGTGGGGGTGGAGTCTCGGGGATGTGTAGATCCTATGACATTCCCGCAGCCATAGGGATCAGTGTCTCCCTCCATCGGAACAGCTCCTCTCTAGTTTGCCCAGAGAGGGCCATCTCTAAAAAGGGCTCTTCATTGCCCCCAACTCATTCTAGCCCAGGGTGAAGTCCCAGGTGCCTCCTATTGGGTCAGGAATGACCCATCCTCCTCTCTCCCCGGCCTTTTCCTCTCCCTTTCTCTCACACCAGGAGCCTGGCCTGGTTGGTAGGGGGGCGGCTCCTTCAGGGGGCGGGGCGGAGAGTAGAGGTTTGGGGGAGACACACACCTCACCTTTCTGACTGGCCTGTTGGTTGCAGAAAGAGTTGGGCTCCACGGAGGACATCTACCTGGCCTCCCGCAAGGTCAAAGAGCTGTCGGTCATTGACGGCCGGAGGGCGCAGAACTGCATCATCCTGCTCTCCAAGTAAGTGCTTGCCGGACTGTGGGGTCCCGCCCAGCCTGTGGGGCCTGCCCGGCCTGTGGGGTCCCGCCCGGCCTGCGGGGCCTGCCCCAGGATACGTTCCTGGTGGGAGGGGCTGGGCCCCCAGGAAGCAGAGGACTGAGATGGGGCGCGAGGAGGGAGATGGTGGACTTGAATGCCTGGGGGAGGTAGGTGGCCGAGGACTGGGGTGACAGCAGTCTCTGGCCTCCCCTGTCCGCTGCCCGCTGGGAAAGGGGACGAGGCCCCGATCTAGAACCCTCCCCGGGAACCCATGTCAGCAGCAGCGTGGGGCTCTGCACACAGGAAACTGCCCCATCTCGAGGCTCCTGACCAGCCTGGTCAGCGTCTGCTGGTGGAGTGGCTCTGAGCCCATGGAGGCCCCCAGGCTCAGGCCACGGAGCAGCATGATCTCAGCCCCCAAGCATTTCCCGTGGCTGCAGAACAAACAGGGCAGTATGTGCACTAACAGCACAGCTTCTGTGCGGGGCCTCCTGCCTGGGCCAGGGTCAGAGGGCACCGCCTCCCAGACTATTCTTAGTGCTGCCCCAGCCGTCCCTGGGACACCCACCCCTCCTTCCCTCCCACAAGGCCCAGGCCTCTGTTCCTCCCCCTTGCTGGTGGGGGAGAGGTCTGTACCCCAGGCTCCCATTGGCTGAGCACCTGGAGGGGCTGGGAAGGGGTGTGTGTGTGTGTGTGTGTGTGTGTGTGTGTGTGTGTGTGTCTGGGGTGGGCTCCTCCCCCTCCCCCTCCCCAGACAGCAAGCGGATAAGCCCGATTGAACAGCTGTGTGGGAGCTGAGGCTGTCCCAGACTGAGGCTGTTCTGTCTGCCGAGAATGAGGGAAGCAGGAAGCTGCCCCTCAGAGGCCTGCCCTCCTCCCGCGCTCCCAGGGAGATGCTGCGGGTATCTTAGGCAGGAGGAGGAGGAGGAAGATCAGGCACCCAAGATGCCCCTTTACTCCCAAACGCCCCTGTCCCCTGTCAGCCCTCACGGAGACTCAGGCACCAGACCGCAGACGCATTGGCAGAGACGAAAAGACCTCGTTGTTGAGTTTAGGGAGTGAACCAAGTTAGTGTAGTCTGAGGAGGCTTTACCAGAGCTGGGGAGGACTCTCCAAGGTGCTCCGTGCTCTACGTTCCGTGAGGGAGGAGGGAGACGTGAGCAGGGGTCTGTCCCGAGCGGACACCCACCCGCCAGGCTGCTCAGGGCTGGGCTCTGCCTAGGTTGAAGCTCTCTAACGAGGAGATCCGCCAGGCCGTCCTGAAGATGGACGAGCAGGAGGACCTCGCCAAGGACATGCTGGAGCAGGTGAGCCCCTCAAGGGGAGGCAGTGAACCCCTTCCCGACAGCCCCCCGAGAGACCCAGTGGTCCAGGAGAAATCAGGCTGGAGGAGTGGCAGAGAGGTTTCTGGAAACTTCCCTTAGCCAACCCACACCACCATTAATTGGACTTAATTAAAATCCTGAACTCTGTTCATCCAAGGCACTGTTATATTACATTATTTTATATTAGAGCAAAAAGACAAGCCAAACCTTAGAACAGTGATGGCGAACCTTTAGAGCTCGGCATGTCAGCATTTTGAAAAACCCTAACTTAACTCTGGTGCCGTGTCACATATAGAAATTTTTTGATATTTGCAACCATAGTAAAACAAAGATTTATATTTTTGATATTTATTTTATATGTTTAAATGCCATTTAACAAAGAAAAATCAACCAAAAAAATGAGTTCGCGTGTCAGAGGTTCGCCATCACTGCCTTAGAAGATGTTTGCCTTTGGTATATCAAGCAAAGACCTCATGTTTAGAATAAAGAACTCTACAAATCAGTGAGAATATGGTAAACGATGGCACTTAAAAATGAGCAAAAACTTGAACAAGTACTTCATGAAGGAGAATTTCTAAGTGGCTCCTATTGGTCATCAGAGAAACAGGGTCGATGTGGGTGTGTGCGGTGGCCCCACATACCCACCAGAATAGCTAAGATCAGAAAGACAGGCCATCCAAGTGTGGGCTGGGAGGGGAAGCGATGGAAGTTCTCGTTCCAGGCAGTCATCTGGTAAAGCACTTGGCAGGGCACACAGAGGCCACACACACCTGCCCAACTGCCCAGCAGCCCCCCTCCTAGGGATACACTCAGACCCCCTCCACCCCCCCCGTGAGCGGCCCAGTGTCTCTCGGTAGGAAAGCATAGACTGTGGTATATTGCCGCAGTAGAATACTACTCAGCAACGAACAAGGAACAGACCATCCACCCTTACAGCGTGGATGAATCTCAGACACTGTATTGAGTGAAAGAAGGCAGACACTAAAGGGAAAACACACCCCGAGTCCATTTATAAGAAGTTCAAGAATAGGCACATCCACCCTAAGGTGACAAACTTCAGCCGAGAGGTTATGTTACGGGGGCGGGGGGTGGTGGGGAGGAGCTGGCTGCTTAAAGTGACACAAGGGAACTTTCTGGTCTGATGGAAATCTTCTGCATCTTGACTGGGTGGTGGCGGGTAGTTTTGTAAAACTCATTGACCTGCACATTTAAAAGGGGCGTGTTCTACTCTATATATATATACAACCTCAATAAAGGTTTCAAAAGAAGAAAGTCACTGAGCTGTATACTTAAGAATAATGTACTTTGCTCTATGTAAGTTATTTCTTAATTTTAAAAAATTAAAAAAAGGAAGGAAGGGAGGGAGAGAGGGAGGAAGGAAGGAAGGAAGGAAGGAAGGAAGGAAGGAAGGCAGGCAGGCTAGAATCAAGTGCCTTGTTCCTTTCGGGCAGATGAAATGCAGACCATCTGCAGAGGATGCCTGTGTCTTAAGGGGACGCCTCCCGGGTTGAGCCTGTCAGTGTGGGCTTCCGTGGGCTGTGCCGCCATACCAGCTTCTTTTCTGACCTTCACCTGCTCTTTGCAGCTCCTCAAGTTCATCCCGGAGAAGAGTGACATTGACCTCCTCGAGGAGCACAAGCATGAGATCGAGCGGATGGCCCGCGCTGACCGCTTCCTCTATGAAATGAGCAGGTCGGCCGCGGGTGTGGCGGGAGGGGTGGGGGAAGGCTGGCTGAGGAGGGGCCTGGCTGGCTTCTGGGGCTGGGGCTGGGGCTGCAGGGGGGCCGCCTATGACATAGCCTCCCGTCCACAGGATCGACCACTACCAGCAGCGTCTGCAGGCCCTCTTCTTCAAGAAGAAGTTCCAGGAGCGGCTGGCGGAGGCCAAGCCCAAAGTGGAAGGTAGGGCTGAGGGGGTGGAGGAAGCCGGAGAGGAGAGGCATCTGGGGAGGCTGGGGAGGGAGTCCAGGAACAGGCAGAGGAAAATTCCTCAAAATCCAAAACCAAACTCTAACGCTGATTTTGTAGATACATGCACTTGTGTCTGTTCGCTCATGTGCCACACATGGACACATTTCCTGTGCCTCAGCATGCAGACTCACTAGGGCGGAGGATCTGTGACATCTGCCCCAGCGTGGGACAGAGATGCTGAAAAAAAATGATGGCACAGTAGTCCCCCCTTATCTGGGTTTCCATGGTTTCAGCTACCTGCGGTCAACCATGGCCCAAAAATATTAAATGGAAGGTTGCAGAAACAGACAATTCTTAAGTTTTAAATTGTGCGCCGTTCTGAGTAGCATTAGGAACTCTCATGCCTTTCCGCTACGTTCCGCCTGGGGCGTGAACCATCGCTTTGTCCAGAATATCCAATGCTGTAAACACTCCCCCTCATTAGTCACTTAGTAGCTGTCTCCATGATCAGAGAGAGAGGCCGTGTTCACATAACTTATTGCTGTAATTGTCCTCATGTACCATTGGTTATTGTTCACCTCTTACTGTGCCTAATCTATAAATTAACCTTTATCGTAAGTATGTACTTACAGGAAGAATCACAGTATGATGGGGTTCGGTACTGTCCTTGGTTTCGGGCACCCACTGCGGGTTTTGGAACGGAACCCCCGCAGATAAGGGGGACCCTGTAATAGCAAGCAAGCACCGAGAACAGTTCCTGGCATGCTTTGGCCGCATCGACCTTGACCCTGCAGGAGAGGTGCTCAAGCTCATGGGAGACTACGGGGCACATTGTTTTAAGTGTGAGCTACTCGGAAAGGAGGAAATGAGCAAGGTGATCCAGGGCGGTGCCTGGTTTTCTGGGTGCGAGAACCCCGCCCTACACCTACAGGCCTTTTCCAAAGGAGCACTTGGTTATTAAATGAGAACCATGTGCCAAACGCTGTGTGAAACACTCCACGCGGATGGGCTCATGGTCCTCACCACAACCCTGCGGGGGCAGAGCTCTCACCTCTGAGATGATCGGGACATGTTGCCTTAGGCCACGTGACTGGTGCATGATGGAGTCAGGATTGGAACACAGTGTTGTTCTTCAAAATCCATCCCCTCGCTCTCCTCCTGGTGTACTCCCCAGAGGGTGGCAGAGACGGAGGCGGAGGGGCAGGAGGGGGAGAGGCAGGTGGTCAGGATGGTGGGTAGCCATGGGGACGGGAGGGGGATGCAGGCCAGGCTGTGAGGCTCATTGGTGGTGAGGACAGGGTCAGTGACAGGGAACTAGGGAGCCTGTGTCCAGGATGCTGAGGGGGACGGGCTGGGGGCAGAGCATGGGCCCCCTCTGCTGGACACCGAGGCTGCTGGCACGCCCTGGGATGCCCCGTGCAGAGAATGATCCTTTCTGGAGTTCTCCAAGCTGCTTCAGGGAGGTTTCCGGGGCAGGTGCGGCATGACAGAGCTAGAGGCAGACATCTTCTGTGATCTGGATCCTGACACACATGCACACGTACTCGCACCCACACACAAGCACTCGCACCCAACAAGGACACTGCAGGCTGGCTGTGATCTGTGATGTGAAGGACGGGGAGCACCGTCAGTGTGACCCTGCAGGTCTAAGGCCTTCCCTTCACACAGCTTTTTTGGTCCTGCTGCCGACTGCCCTCGGGGCCTGAGGCACAGGTCAGGGGTTCAGCCAAAGACATATGTGCTCAGCTGCTTGTGTCTCTTGGGTCAGTGGAGAAATGTAAGCAATAGCACTTGGGACTGTGGGACCCGAGTAGCTTAGCCATCCGGTGGCTTTACTCTCAGATGATTTCCTGTTCCCGGGGCCACTCCTCAACTCCCCCTAAGTTAGTCACTGCGGCTGAGAGAAGAGTCCGCCTTTCATATCACCAGGCAGAGCGGGGCGTGTTTAGATGGCAAAACCTGCCGGAAGGTCGTCACCGCCCAGCTATAGCTGCTGTTCTAGAAGGGCCCACAGGTCTCCTCCCTCCCAGGGGCAGGCAGAGGCAGCTGAAGTATATCTTACAGAACCAGGTCAGTGGGCTTGACGGGGTGGGGACAGAGGAGGGTGCAGGAGTGGGGTTCATATTCCTCCCTTCAGTTCTCCGAGGAAATACTCCTGGGTGAGCTGGTTGGTGAGCTATTGACACCCCTCCACACCCCCCCATCCCCCAGAAGGTCCTCTGGGCCCATTCCCCAAACTTGACAAATGTACCAGTTCTTTTATGAATATATTCATAAACATTTCTTGAATATATTCTTATGAATATGTTCATTTTTGAGATATACCAAATTTACTGATTCTTATTATGAATACATTTACTGAATATAGTCAAGATGAATATGGTCTCCAATGTAAACATCCTCCTATGAATGTATTCATGAGCCCATTATCCTTATGAACGCATCTGAACTGTCTGCACTGCACATGGGACTCTCCCCATTTGCACTGATTTCCTTTGAACTCTTGTCATCTGTTTTGCCAACATTTCAGCATTTTCAGGAGGATTCCTTCGCAAATTTTTCAAATAGCTTATCAACCAAAGAGAAATGATCCCAACCAATAAAAACTGCTGGAAACTTTTATAAGCAGTTTTATTTTAAAGTGAACTTTTTATTGAAATGTGCGTGTGGAAAAGGACACGGAATCATGAGTCCCACTTGGGGAATGACGGTGAAGTGAGCTCACCGGTGTGATTGACATCAGGTCGAGTGGAATGTTTCTAGCCCCTTCTTCATGCCCCCCCCCCTTGAACATTACCCCCCAACCACTGCTCTCCCCTCCTCTCTAAAGGTTTTGTCCAGCTTGAACGTTATAGAAGTGGGACAGAGTATGAATAATTTTATGCTTGTTTCTTTTGCTGAGCATTATGGTTGTGAGTTACCCCTGTTGTTACGTGTAGCAGTGGGTTATATATTCTCAGGGCTGCATTTTATTCCATTTATCAATATGCCACAATTTATTTTACCAGTCTATTTGTAATTTAAGGGGGGTGGGGACTGGAAACCATTCAAATGCCCTTCAAGTGTAACGGTCATAGAATATGTACATGTTCAACTTCAGAAGCTACTGACAGTCCTTCCATATTACTCCCTCCTCCTCCTCCTCCTCCTCCTGCTCCTCCTCCTCCTCCTCCTACTCCTTCTTCTTCTCCTTCTTCTCCTCCTCCTCCTCTTCCTCCTCTTCTTCCTCCTCCTCCTCCTTTTTCTTCTTCTTCTCCTACAATTACCTTTAACTGTCTTGAAGATTTTCTGCACACGTTTAGCAGACGGTTCTCATTTTGTCTTCATAGCAGCATCTTACAGCATGCTCAGTTTGGCATAAGCCAAAGATCAGAGGCTACTTTGGTCTCCTTAGCACCACATTTAATAACCAAAAGGCAATTCCACAGCTAGTGGCCAGCATTTCAGTGTAGGACTTGTCTCCCAATTCTGCACATTTGCCATAAATACAGAGGAGCTGAGGAAGGGCCATGCTCTCCATGTTAGACTTCACTACTGAAGTTCTGGTCACTGCTGACTTAACTTGTATTTCCAGCCAAGCCAGTACTTAAGATAAGAGGATAAAATAGCTAAAATACCTAAAGGTGGGGACGATTTTAAAAATGATATTTGCCCTAGCCGGTTTGGATCAGTGGATAGAGCATCGGTCTGCGGACTGAAGGGTCCCAGGTTCGATTCCAGTCAAGGGCACATGCCTGGGTTGTGGGCTTGATCCCCAGTGGGGGGGCGTGCAGAAGGCAGCTGATCAATGATCCTCTCTCATCATTGATGTTTCTATCTCTCTCTCCCTCTCCCTTCCTCTCTGAAATCAATAAAAACATATAAAATAAATAAATAAAAATGATATTCAACAGATGTCAAATCACCTATTTACTCAAAGACACCATCATCCACAGAGCGCACCATTATCTTATAGGACAAAAGTAATTTGGGAATATTACAGTTGGTTATATGTTATAATTTAATTTGATAGGATATTTTTCTTTCCAAAAATATCAATAAAATTCAGCATTTCAAAAAGAGGTATGGACAGTCCCATAAAATGTAAAATGCTGAAATTTACACTTTAATCACTAAGTTTAGAAAAGTGAAAGTATTATATGCTTATATATATCCAGAGAAAGAATATATTAATAATCTTTTAATATCCACAAGAAAAGATATTCTTGAATATATTCTTAGGAAGAGTTGGCGCATTCTAAGAATGTGTTATTTGGCAAATTGGCGTGTGGCGAGTTGGTCCCGGCCCTGGCGGTGGGCAGGTGTGGAGTAGCTGGTCTGTGGCGACATGGGCACGGTTCCTGCCCCTCTGAGAGCGGAAGACACTTGCAGCCCCTTTTCTGGACTTCGTGGTGGCACCATCCTGGGGTGTGAGGGGACCAGCTGCCCTGGCCCCGTCTGTAGGGATCTGAACTGTCCTCCCCCCCACCCGCCCCCCAGCCATCCTGCTGGCCTCCCGGGAGCTGGTCCGCAGCAGGCGTCTGAAGCAGATGCTGGAGATCGTCCTGGCCATCGGGAACTTCATGAACAAGGGGCAGCGTGGGGGCGCCTACGGGTTCCGGGTGGCCAGCCTCAACAAGATCGCCGACACCAAGTCCAGCATCGACAGGTGCGGCCTGCCTGCTTCCTGAGCCTCCATCACCCCCCCTCCAGGCCTCACCCCTCATCCCTTGGGCCCTCCCTGCATTTCCAACCCAACCCGTGGCCTCTCTCCTCTACACCGCAGCCTGGTTTCCTGCTGACCCTCGTTCCCTTAGCCATGAGCTGCCTTTCACCCGCAGGAACATCTCTCTGCTCCATTACCTGATCATGATCCTGGAGAAGCACTTCCCCGACATCCTGAACATGCCCTCGGAACTGCAGCATCTTCCAGAAGCCGCCAAAGTCAAGTGAGGGGTCCCTCCGAGGCCGCATCCTCTCATGTCCACACACGCTCTTGTCCGAATGTCCTCCTTGGGGCTACTCTGGGCTGACTAGGGCGGGGCACTGTCTCTGAGTCTGCCAAATGAAGACAGACTATTTGCTCTTCAAACCTTTATTCGGGGATCTCCCAGGAATCAGAGTGGGGCTGGGGAAGGGAGCCAGGGATGGGAAGGCTACTAATAGGGGTGTAATTCCACCAGCTACCACTGGGGGCAGCTGGAGCTTGACCCTTTCCAGGGAAGTCAGGGAGATAGTGCAAGACACTCTTCTAGTCTTACCCAAGTGGTGAGGGAGCTGGGACATCATACACCATCTCCTGTCCGTCACTGGCTGAGGGGCTCAGCGGGTGGGGCATTACTCTCTGGCTCCCAGAAAAAGGGCTCATAGCCGAAGTCAGCACTGCGCACTGCAGTGAATGGTCCAAGGAGCTGTGGGTGGGGCACCCGCAGCATCTGCTATAGGCAAGAAGTCAGACCTGAACATATACGTATAAGCTGATAGAAGCATCTTCAATAAAAGCAGAAATGCAGTGGTACATGGCTAACATCATCAAATGCTTAGTGCTTGCAAGTATAATACTTGTAAGTTATGAACTTACACCTATCCCCTGGTGGTAAAAAATAAATCCATGCCAGAGGCCATGTGTCAGAAACCTGACATTTCTGGTCTCAGGGGTTCTATAGAGCATAAGCTTCACCCCTGTTATTCTATAGCCGCACCGACAGAGCACAGTGGGTGGGGAGGAAGGCGGAGATTGGCTACGTGTTAGTGGCCAATGCAGGACTGGGGCGCAGGCCCACTGACCCCAGGCCTCGGGGTTTAGAACTGCCCTCTGCTGGGCCACCCTCATCTCCTGTCCCTCCCTCCGTGTCTCCCCACAGCCTGGCAGAGCTGGAGAAGGAGATAGGCAACCTCAGGAAGGGCCTCAGAGCGGTCGAGGTGGTGAGTACATCGTTCCTGCCTCGTGGGTTTGAGGGGCTGTGGTCAGGGGCACTGGGTCAGACGGTGGGCCCCCAGGTGGCAGACCCTGTCAGACGCCTGCCCGGCCCAGCGCTCCTGGCTTGGGTGGTAGAATAATGAGCACAGCCTCTAGCACAGGCCAGCCTCAGGGAGGATGATTGGCTTATCCGGGGCTTAAAGTTAGTCTCTCAAAGGGGGATCCTGAGACTAACCCGGTCCCTGTCCAACGTGTGTACTGGGTGGTGGAGTGGACTGAACCGTAGATCAGACACATGCTTAACTCTGACTCCAGTAGGTGGGAAAGAGGACCCACGTCCTCTGGGCGCCGGCGAGGGGCAGGTGGCACAGTGTGACACTGGGACCGCTATCCCCAGGAGTCCCTGCCTCATGTCTCTTTACCCCTCCCAGACCCTAGAGGAGCCTGGCTGCACTCTTTGCTGGAGACCCAGGTCTCTGGTCACCACCATTCCGATGGCCCCTCTGACGACACTGTCTCTGGCCCTAGGCTAGGCTGGCTCAGTGTGGGGATGTCCCCACCCCTCTGTCCCCCATACCCGTCTTCACTGAGTGCATGTGGGGCAGGGGGGGAGGGTCACACCCTCTGTCCCCCATACCCGTCTTCACTGAGTGCATGTTGGGGGTGGTGGTCACGGGTACAGAGAATGAGCTTAGAGAATAAAGTTAAATATGAGAAAGAACCTTTCACTGCCACTGAGGGTGACAGCCAACATATCAAGTGCTTCCCAAAGCGTGGTCCGGGCCAGCAGCGCCAGCGAGATTTAGGAATGCGTCTCCCACCTGGATGTGCACACAGATCACCTGAGGGTCTTGCTAAAAGGCAGACTCTGATCCCATAGGTCTGGGTGGGACCCGAGGGCCTGTGTTTGTTCACCTTCCCCAGGTGAGGCCGACGCGGCTGGTGGCAGGCCACACTTCTGGAGACAGGAAGAGGGCAGGGTGGGCGAGGGAAGGCGAGAGGTGGATGGACTGGCTGGTCACTCTCCCAACCTTTGCCACCCTTAAAACTGACACCCAGAGTGTCCCTCTTCCCAAGGAGGCTCACTGCCCCGTGACTGACAGGCAGGGAGGGCGGGGTGGTGACCCGGAATTCCTGACTCCGACCCACCCACCACCAGTCTAACCAGCACTTCACTCTCCCTCCTCAGGAGCTGGAATATCAGAAACGCCAGGCGCGGGAACCAAATGACAAGTTCGTCCCCGTCATGAGCGACTTCATCACGGTGTCCAGCTTTAGCTTCTCAGAGCTGGAGGACCAGCTCAGTGAGGCCCGGGACAAGGTGAGGGTGCCCAAGCCTCCGCTCACCCTAGCCTAGCCCGCCCCACGCCTCTCCAACTCGGCCTTATGTCCACGGGGCTCCTTCACCCACTCCTACCAGGTGCCCCAGAAGGGACAGACCCAGAATCGCAGAGCCCTGAGGACCAACCACGTCCTCTCTCCCACCAGGAAGCAATAGCAACTCTGATGCAAAGACCCTAACCCATTCTTCAGGTGTCGAGCACTGCATTGCTTTATCTCGGCTCATTGCCCACTTTATGGGTTTGTTGAACGGTTATTGGCCCTTTCCACAGATACGTGCACCGAGATCCAGAGAGGCTCAGGAACTTGCTGTGCTGGACAGAGCTGGGTCAGAATGACTGGAGCTCAGCTTCGGCCTCAGTTCCTGCCTCCCGCACTGACTTGCACGTGGACCCGTCTGTGGGAGTTTTAGTAAAATGTGCATCCTCCTTCAGGGGGTCCGGAATGGGGCCTGGGGTCCAGCAGTGCTGAGACGCCCACGGGAGCTCCCACGCGGGCCCGTGGAGCACACACGGGGCAGGGAGGTCTTCCTTGGAGGACTCTGAGTGGGTCAGAGGTGGTGGCTCTCACTGAAGAGCAGTGCCTGGTTACCTCTGTTAACTCGTTAACCCCCACAACAACACTGAAGTAGGTTCTATTTGGTGCAGGGGTGCGTGCAGAGGCAAGAGCAGAGGCAGTCAAAGCTTGAAGGGGCATGACAGGATGAGGGGGCAGGACAGGATGAGCGGGCAGGACAGGATGGGGGGGCATGACAGGATGAGGGGGCATGACAGGATGAGGGGGAACAGAAGAAAACCAGATCATCCCCACTTTACAGATGAGAAAACTGAGGCACAGGACACATAACTAACTGGCCCAATAACTATGAGCTCCGAGGTCCTTTAGATTTCTGACCAGGCAGTTCGGTCCCAAGGTCTGTAGCTCCTGCCCCATACTCACGCCGTGACAGACCCAGAAGTGGCTCTGGGCAGCCTCGTCAGCCAGCTTGGACCCCCACGTCCCCAGGGTGTCTACCTCCACCTTTTCCTTCAGCCTTGTCTGCACCCTGCTGACAAGGGGGCTCCCCTTCTCCAACCCTGACCCCATGCAAATGCCCCAGCCTCAGCCTGGGCTCAGCTCTGGCTGGCACCCAGCTAACCACGTGGCCCATGGTGCTCAGGGGTGACTCTCCAACCTCTTCTCCCCCTTACAGTTCTCCAAGGCCCTGGTGCACTTTGGGGAGCAGGACAGCAAGATGCAGCCAGACGAATTCTTTGGCATCTTCGACACCTTCCTGCAGGCCTTCTCAGAGGCCCGGCAGGACCTGGAGGCCATGAGGAGGAAGAAGGAGGAGGAGGAGCGGCGGGCGCGCATGGAAGCAATGGTGAGTAGTGGGCAGAGCCTGTGAGAGGAGAGGCAGGTCCGAGTGGGGTGCCCCCAGGGGACAATGGTTGGGGTGTGTGCGAGGAGGGCAGGGGCTGAGAAACACTGTAGGGACTGATGTCACCCCGCTCCCCCCGGGGAGAGAATGCCTTCAGCCTGAGAGAGCACAGGGCGTCCTGGGAGGGTGGGCCCAACTGGGAGGTACCCCTGCTGGAAGACATGGTTTAGAGGTCAGGGGTGGCTGCTCCGGCCTCAGCCTATCTCCCTCCCCCTGCAGCTGAAGGAGCAGCGGGAGCGGGAGCGGTGGCAGCGGCAGCGGAAGGTCCACACGGGCAACACTCTGGAGGAGGGCGGCGAGTTCGACGACCTGGTGTCAGCCCTGCGCTCTGGGGAGGTCTTTGACAAGGACTTGTGCAAGCTCAAGCGCAGCCGCAAGCGATCAGGGAACCTGGCCCTGGAAGTCACCCGGGAGCGGGCAATCAACAGGCTAAACTGTTGACTTGGGCACTGGCCGCACAGGAGGCCAGGAGACAGGGATGGCCAGGGGCTGAGTGGAGGAGGCGGGACACTTAACCACATGGTGCTCGGCTGAGAGCCCTGGGCTGGGTCCTGGGGTGTGGCTGTGTGAGGCAGGACCAGGCGTCTCCCACATGTACCTGAGGGGCTCCTCCCTCTCCTCTTCCCATTACTCGTCCTGCTTCCGGGCCCCAGGATCACCCTCCGAGGCCCACTGGGACGTCCCTGGCAGGCTCGGCACCCACATGTTGGCACAGAGCTGCCCAGATCCAGCCTGGACAGGTCCCTGGCTCTTGCTCAGCTATCATGTGCAGTGGGCAGTACCTGGGAGGTGGGCACCCCGAGAGCCAGGTGAGAGATCCAGGCTCCCAGCCCTCAAGAGGCGGCTAATGGGGCATAGACCTGGGAGCCCACTGCCCTCTTGATGGAGAAGGAAGAGGCGCTATGTATCCTGGATGTGCTCTAGGAAAGATGCTGAGGGTACCACAGGGACCAAGTCGTCAGGACACAGAGTAGCAGAGCCTGTCTCCTCCATCACCACTCACTCCAGCCTCTCGCATGTCTAAGCCTCCCCCTTCCTTCCCACTGCCACCTCCATCCTGTCTACTAACCCAGAATCCCACCTATGGGTTCCCTGGCTACTGCTCCCCATCAGGTACTTGATGCATCTGCTAAGGGAAGGGTTGCAACAGAGACCCGCCTTATCACCATACTTTGTGCCTTGGGCGTAGGGACCCTGGGCCATGGTCCTGAGAGAGGGTGACCTCACACAGCCCTGCACCAGAGCTTTCTGGTCTACCCTCATGTCACTCAGACCCCACACTCTTTCTGACGTCTGCCTCAGGGCAGAAGCTGCGGTGACCTCCATCCTGTCCAGCACACAGGAGACCCCCTCAAACCATGTGTGCCTGGCTGGCTGAGGCTGGTCCTGGAGTCAGTTCCCGGGAGGGTCCTGAGGGCCAGGCTGCCCTCTGCATTTGCACACCATCTCCGAGGTGTCTCCTCCTCTGAGGCCATCAGGCCTGGGCCGGCGCAGGCGGGGAAGCGAGGGAGACGGGGTGGGGGAGGCTGACTTCCCTGGGGAGGGCACTGCCTGAAAGGCCACCCCCCATCATCGGTACCTGATTGGTTCTTCAACCTGCCCGCCCAGGGGCTCACTCTGGTCCTCCTGTCCGTTCCCATTTCCCATTCTGCATCTTGAGCGGGTGAGTCGATGGCTGTATCTAAGCAAAATGCTGTCTTCTAAAGGAGGTGAGGTCACTTCCATCAGGACTCTTATTTTCAACATACCCCCCCCCAACCCAGAGTTCACCTTTCGTCCTGCCTGCACCCCATCCAGGGGTTCCTCGCCTCCTGTTCTCCTGACCCTCCCTTTATGTTTCTGCCCTTCTAACCTGCTCCTGGCTCAGGCTCAGGCTCAGGACTATTGCCAGTGGACAGACTGGTGGGCTGGGCCCACGCTCCAGCTGCCTCTTTTCCCTACATCAGACCCCTGGGGGTGGGGCCATAGTTGCTTCCAGGGAAGAAACAGGGTTGGTGAGCCCAGCATGTGTGTTGGTTCGAGGGGGAGAATTAGAGCAAACGCAAGTCTGGCCAGGACCTGGGCGCAGGGCCATCCCGGAGCCCAGGTGAGGGCAAGGTGAAGGCTTCCAGGAAGAGCTGCGGGGGCTGATACCATCCGCACAGCCAGGAGCCCCGCTGAGGGCAGGCGTGGGGATGAGGGAAGGTGGTAGGTGGGGCCTCTAGACTCCTCTCCCCATCTGGCTGGGGTGCAGCTCACCCACGGGGCAGGGCACAGGGCGGGCTCCACTGCCATCCAACAGGTGTGCCACGTCCCGGCCTCGCCACCCGCCACGGAGACTGGATGTGCCCCACGGAAGACAAGGAGTATGGAAGCTGATGGAGACACGTGGGATGCGCAGGAAAGCAGTTTGACCCTATAGGGGACACATACATTGTTCCAGGGTTCTGGCTTCTCACCCCGATTTTCCCTTCTCTATTTATTATTTTCAAGATCTGGCCAGTGGTTCTGGCACCAGACACGGTTGTGGCCAGATCTCCAAGAGTGCCTTGGACCAGACCATCGCGGCTAAGGGGCTAGCGCCCCGTGGAGACGGCTGCGCTGGTCCTCGATATGCCACATGTTTACGCCCATGTTTGTTCCTTGGTCTCTTCCGGTGCCCTTCCTGCCACCCCCGGGTGAATGCCTCCCGCTGTCTAATTTTGTGTCCAGTGTAAAATCCAATTAACCTAAGGCAACCTGTCCCGTTCAGCAGCAGTACCCCCTCCCGTGATGGAAGTAAGGTGTGTCTATGGCAATGGGAGGAGCAAATTCTCCAGGGGCAGGGACGGGGCTGGCCCAGGCTCCCCCCAGCCCCATCCTGTTTCCATCCACTGGGGAGCGGTGGCCGCTCCCCCGCCTCTACCTGGGCTGCCTTCTTGCCAAGGCCGCTGTCGCCAGCGGTCTCAGAGGACAAATGAGGCTCATGTACGAAATCGGCAGCGTCCTTTTTACCCACACCTTTTTTATAAGAATATATTGTAATACTAAAAAATATTAAACCCATACCACCCCATCCTGCCTTGAAACCTGTACTTTCTTCTCTTGAGGGGCTGGGGGGTGTGGGGAGCCAGCTCCTACCAGCGCTGAGGGCCCAGCGGCGACACTTGCAGGGACTGTGCACTCCTGGGCACATGGACCGGAGCTTGAGATCGGGAGCTTGGCCTTTCCCTTTCCCGAGCTGGCTGTTCAGCATCCCCAGCACCCCGGGTGCCGGGCAGCGGGAGGCAGGCGGGAGGTCCCCGAGGACAGACCCGAGGAGGCCCATCCACGTTAGAGGACCCAGCAGCCCAGTCCAGTGTTGGGGCTGTGAAACCCAGGAGCCTCTAACTATCCCTGATCTCTAATAGCCAGTGACGAGCTTCGGACACCCCCTGACCGTCTTACTGCAGACAGTGCCC